AATGGGTGTACTCACATATGTTTTTGTGTGTGTGGTGGCACTGGCATTTGAAGTCAGGGCCTTGAGCTTGCCAGGTGAGTGCTCTACCACTTGAGCCACATCTCCAGTTTTCTTTAGTTATTTTTCCATTGGGTCTTGAGTTTTTGCCCCATGCTCTACCCCAGTCCTCTTACCTATTCCTCTCATGTAGTGGGATTATAATATACCACCATGACCAGTTTGTTGGTTGAGATGGGGGTCTTAGTAACTTTTTGCATAGGCTGGCCTCAAATGGTGATCTTCCTGCTGTCCTCCTCCTGAGTAGCTAGGATTATAAGCATGTGTCATTGCTTCCAGGGACACTGACATTTTTGAGGAGTATAGGCAAGTTGTTGTGTAAAATGTCCCTCAATTTGAATTTGATATTTCTTTTCTTTCCACTTTGTGTGTATGTGTGTGTGTGGTGCTGGAGTTTGAACTCAGGGTGTCACAGTTGTTAGGCAGTTGCTCTATCACTTGAGCCACTCCTTCAGCACTCTTTCCTGACAGGTTTTTCTTGAGATAAGGTTTTAGGAATTAATTGCCTGAGGTTGGATTCGAACCGATAATCTTGGCCTCCTAAGTAGCTAGTTTAGAGTCTGGCTCTTTTTTTTTAAGAAATGGATATTACTGTGTGGCCAGGCTGTCCTCAGACTCCCAGGCTCAAGCAGTTCTGCCTCAGCCTCCTGAGTAGCTGAGACTGCAGATGCATCTGGTTTTTTTGTTTTTTCATTATTTTAAATTTTATCATTTGATGCATCTCTCTCTCTTTTTCTTCCCTCCCTGTCTTCCTTTTTTTTTTTTTTTTTTCTTAGAGTCTTACTTTGTAGCCAGGCTGTCCTAGAACTTGTGATCCTCATCCCTCAGTTTCACAAAAATCTGGGATTATAGGCCTCTGCCACCATGCCCAGCTTGCTGGATATTTCTTAGTGCTTGGACTCGGGCTGTACACTTTTTGTTAGGAAAAAAACAGCGTGAGATCCTATCTTTCTTGATGCTTTATATCAGAAGGCTCTTGATGTTGGTTTGACTCACTGGTGATGCTAACTTTGGTTACTTGGTTAAAATGGTGTCACATTTCTCCACCATAAAGCTACCAGTTTCCCTTTTGAAATCAGTATACGGCAGACCCTTGGTAGCTGCAGGTATCGGGTTCCAAGGTTTTTCCTTGGGGGAAACCACGCGTGCTCAGCGTGAGGAGTTCACACTGCACTGCGGATGCTGGAGTCATTTTCCCCAACACCGCCCAGCTCCCGCTGAAGACACGCGGGTTTCAGCAAACCTCAGCCTTTCATCTTATCCCTTCAACTAAGCAAGTCACTTTTACCTTGCTTTCTGTGCATCATTTGCTTTTTGGGAGGCAGATTTTCACAAAATTAAGGGCAGGGAAGCACTCAACAGATCATGCAATAATTTAAATACACCTGACAATAACGTCGACTGAGAACTTATCCTGAGCTGCGGAATGCACGCTCAGTTTCACAATTTTCTTCTGATTTATTTTTGACAGGACAGGGTCAAAACTGTGTGTGAGAAAGTGGGCTCCCCATGTATCTGTGGTAAAATACTGCAAGACTATATAAATATTCTATGCCCCTTCATTTCAGCTAGTAATTTTAATAGCCACTCTTACCTGAAACTATTATTATCATGGTGGTATAACTGGCCATTTTAAACCCTAGCCCGGCGCTGGTGGCTCACGCCTGTAATCCTAGCTACTCAGGAGGTAGAGATCAGGAGGATTGAGGTTCAAAGCCAGCCCAGGGAAATAGTTCACAAGCCCCTATCTTGAAAAACTCATCACAAAAAAGGGCTTGTGGAGTGGCTGAAACAGTAGAGCACCTGCCTAGCAAGCATGAGTCCCTGAGTTCAAACCCCAGTACCCCAGTAATGAGTAAGGCTCTATGTTCCTTTTATAATTATTAAGTAGCTTCCCTACTATAAAAGAATTTTCCCTCCTGCCCCTCCTTTATTCAGTATTTGTCAGTTACTGCCATTGTCTCTTTTTCTTCTTTTGGTGCTGGGAATTGAACCCGGGCCTCACGCATGCTAGTCAAGCCCCCTACCACTGAACCACAACCCCGAGTCCACCATTATTTGTCTTGATTCTCAGAGTGTCCCTGCTTTGGTCTTTGGTAACTCTTTCAAGCTGGTGCCTTGGCCTTTGTACTCGGCATTCTTTGAGCACTTCTTTGATGGAACTAGATTTTTCCAGGTTTATCTTGAGCTCTCCCTACCACAGCTTCCTTCCAAGGAGCAGTTTCTAACTGCTCCTTTAAGGACAGAAGTTTCTGGCAGGTATTGAGGAGGGAGGAGGGAGAGGAAGGGGGCAGGGAGGGGGGTAAGGGAGGGGATGAGGGAAGGGGGAGAAATGACTCAAGCGTTGTATGCACATATGAATAAAAAATAAAATAAAATAAAATAAAATAAAAAGCTAAATAAAAAAAAAAAAGGACAGTTAGAAACCAAGAACTGGCTATCAGGAGTGTTATCCATTTTGAAGGTAGAAATGGTGTGGATGTTACAGACAGAACTGGATGTGGATATAGTAGGAAAGGAGCCCCTACCTCTATTTCCTTTAGCTTTTTTTTTTTTTTTCCAGTTTTCTGAGTATTATATAATTACTCAAGCAGTATGCTCTACTACTACCTGGGACATCCTTATTCGGGGTCTCTAGCTTTTAAATGATCCCAGCTTTGACTCTCTGGTCTAACATTTACTGCATGAATGGGCCTGGGCCAATGTCTCCCTCGTCTTGTTTTTCAGATGTGTTTCTTGATTTCTTTAAGTGCAAAATTAGGGTAATGAGAGGTGTCTCCCAGTGCTCTTCTAAGGACTGAGTGCTGTACGAGTAAACCATGAGTGGCACTGAGCCTATCGTTGAGTCCCGTGGGCAGCTCTTAGCCTCTGTCCCCTTGCCTCCTGGACCCCTGCAAATGGCTGACCTGGGGAACTGGGGGAACCAGGCATGGGACCTTTGGCACTGTGCCTGGCAAGTGCTGAATGTTGATCCTTGGCTGCCACAGGCAGTTTTCTAGGTGTCGCTCTTCTGTGATTCCTTGAGGGCAACAGTCAGTCACTCCTTGTTCCTGTTTTTAGCATCTCTCCTCCCACCCCGGAGTCTGTCGTCTGTCCTGGTCTGTTGAGCATGTCAGGCTGAAGCCTGCACCCATCCGTCCTTTCAGCTGCTCTCAGCCCCGGAGCACATTGGTGGAAATGATCGTTTGGTCAAACATGAGTTTTGCCTCAGTGATTTTTAAAAGTGATTTTTTGGTATTCCTTGTGCAGTCTTACATTTTTTGTCTATCTTCTATAGTTCAAAAAATATTTTTTACCTGTAATTACTTTATAGCTAATTATTCTTGTTTTCTGTCTGTAATAGGAAATAAGTTAGATAGGAAAAGGCTAAAACAACCAAAATATCTGACCATGGAATGGTTTCCCCCTTCCTTTCTTCCCTTCCTTCCTTCCCGCCCTGGTCCTTCCTTCCCCTCTCTCCTTCCCTTCTTTTTGCCCCTCCTTTTCTTCCTCCCTTCCTTCTTCCCTTCCCTCCCTTCCTTTTCTCCCTCTCTGTCTTGTTAAAACAACAATAAATGGGCTGGAGGCATGACTCAAATGGTAGGATGCCTGCCTAGCAAGCACAAGGCCCTGAGTTCAAACCCTAGGACTGCCAAAAACAACAACAACCAAAATCAAACCCAAAACAGCATCATTATAGAAAAAATAAATAAAGCAATTTACCACAGCACTGAGCACTCTCTACCCAAGCTCTTCTCAGTGTTGTGTTTTCTGTGACCAACTCTGAGGGATGAAGGCGTGTCTCCCTTCAGGATGTGGAGCAGGCTTGCATACTACCTGCTATAAATGGTGGAATTCCCCATGCCTGGTGCTCCTCTGCTCAGTTTAGAAGGCTGAGACTGTGGCAGAAATCTGGACCCTTCTGTGTCACCCTGTGGGACTCTGGGTAAAGGGGAGTGATGCAGACACACTGCTCCTGTTGCTGGCTGTGCAGTGAGCAATGAATTCCTGTCTCTGACTTAGTAATCTCATGTCTTTGGATCAGACTAACTCGTCAGCTTGTAACTAGGGTACAATCCCAGACTGTTCCAGAGTTCTGTTACTCTTCCTTAAGTGAATGTACAATGTGAAAAATTAGTTTTTACTTTTTTTTAAAGAAAATATTACTAGTCAGAGGAAAGTCAGACAACAGAAAGCACTGAAAGAATGAAATGAAGACTCCCCTACTTGGGGTTAGGGTATGACTCAGTGCTAGAGTGCTTGCCCTATGTGCACTAGGCCATGGGTTTGATCGCTAGCAACGCTACAAAAACAAACAAACAAAAAACACAACCCCCAGCTCTCACCTAGCTGAAGACAATTTGGCTAATCTCTCAGTAGAGATCTTTCCAGACTGTTTTCCAAGTAGATCCCCTGTCTTTACTAGTCTTCTACAAAAAGAAAGCCTGTGCTGTGGTTAACACCAACCCAGGTTTAGTTTCGCATCCCATACTGGGGCCGTTGTAGTGACTCCAGATCCTCATGGCACAGTCAAGGGCCACAGCCATCAGCCTGCAAAGCGATCCAGAGCCCCCACTCAGAGTCAGGAGCTTCTCTGGCCCTGCTACTTCCTGGGAGTTCTTGGACAGGAAATGTCCCGGCCTAACACTTTGGGGGACCACAGATGCAAAGGAAACCACTCTCCCATCTCATCTCCTCCTCTGTACCTCCAAGTCTTAAGCACACCTCATCACTCCAGCTCTGACCCCAATACCCCAGCTAACACCCAAGAATCCCCATTCTGGACCCGTACATGCTGGCCTGCCTCCACTGAGCCCCCAGATCCCCAGGCACCCTGTCAGGTTACCACAGGGCAGCTGTGGGAACAGGACCGGGTGGGGCAGGATGCGGGGGGGTGGGGGGGTGGGGAGGTGGAGCCAGGGCCCACTTCCTTTCCCCTTGGGGCCCAGGCCGCCCCAGTCGTGCCCAAGTCTCTGGAGGAGTTGGAGTGGCCCCAGCCCTGTGCCTTATCAATTGAGTTGGTAAGAGGGTATGACCTGGGGGTGGCAGCAGGGACCTCGAAGGACCTGGGAATGTGTTTATGGCCCTGACAGGTGATGGGAAAAGAGATCAGGAGCCACTGGGCTGAACAGGCTCAGGAAAGGCCAGGAGAGCATGGTCATTGCTAGTGTGAGCTGCCAAGGCTGGAGGGAGCCTCTGGGCTGGGACAGAGGGGACAGCGGCCTGCATCTGCTCCCTTCTCATCTCTGATAATAGGACAGGCAAGGGTGGAAAAGGTCGTTAAACCGCAAGTTGGGTCTGGCAGTTGGCAGGGAAGTGGGCAGGGGGCAGGGCCTGGCCAGGTCCTCCCCTAGCCCTGTCTGTTCTGTTTCTCTAACTTCCCTACCCTCAGGTCTCAACTCCTGCTTGTGCCTGTCACTATGGAAATGGCCCTGCTTTTTATCCTCTTTTGGGGCTTCTGGGCCCCAGTGATGACCACACTAACTCCAGAGACTTTGCTGACACCTGCTTCAGAAAAGCTCTTGACTACTGAGGTGCTGCTCAGCTCAGCCGTCTCCATAGGGCCAATAGCAAGGGACCCTAAAGAGACTGGCAGCACCTCAAACCTGACCTCAAGTCCATCTTCCCCAACTCCCTTTGGAATCAATGACTTGCCTCTTTTGGGGACTTCTACTGGTGAACCTGAGTCAACAACCTCCCAGGATGATGCCACTAAGAAGTCATCGGTGCTCCCAGAAACCTCTAACGCAACTGGTGACTCTGCAGTTGGAGACTCCATTGTGAGAGGCGGAATCATGACATTTAGCTCTCTGAAGCCCTCCAATGGGACCAATGGACCCCCTGTTACCGCAGCAACCAGCTTTCTAGAGTCCATCAGTGAGACTAGTGGACCCCCTGTTGCAATGGCAACAAGCTCTATGAAGCCCTCTGAAGAGACTAGTGGACCCTCTGTCACCATGGCAACTAGTTCTCTGGAGCCCTCCAATAAGACCAGTGGAGCCTCTATCACCATGGCAACTAGTTCTCTGGAGCTCTCCAATGAGACCAGTGGACCCTCTATCACCATGGCAACTAGTTCTCTGAAGCCCTTCAATGAGACCAGTGGACACCCTGTTGCTATAACAACCAGTTCTCTGGAGGCCTCCAGTGTGGCCAGTGACTCGCCAGTCTCCAGCATAAAAATATCCATAAAGACTACCCTAAAGCCGCTTATGAACACAAGCCCTGGGCCTTCCCCAGCTCCAGTCCAGGGGTCCAATGGCATGCTGCTGGTGCCAGTGCTTGTGGCTCTGTTGGTGGTCGTAGTCCTTGTGGCCCTTCTCCTGCTGTGGCGCCAGCGGCAAAAGCGGCGGACAGGAGTCCTGACACTGAGCAGTGGCACAAAGCGCAATGGGGTGTTGGATGCCTGGGCTGGGCCGGCCCAGGTTCCTGATGAGGAGGCCATGGCAGCAATAGCGGGAGGGTCTGGGGGTGACAAGGGCTCTGGGGTCCCCGAGGTAGAAAGGTCTGGCCAGCGGCCTGCGCTCACCACTTTCTTCAGCAAACGGAAGTCTCGCCAAGGCTCCTTGGTGATGGAGGAACTAAAGTCTGAGTCTAGCCCTAACCTAAAGGGGGAGGAAGAGCCACTGGTGGGCAGTGAGGATGAAGTCGTGGAAGGCCCTACCTCCAATGGGCCAGAAGTGGGGGATGGGGCTGTGCCTCAGACCTTGTGAATAACAGAATAGAGGTCAGACTCCTTGCTAGCTTCCATCACCTTCCCTCTTAGCATGACTACCAATCCCATCCTCCCCAGCACCTTCTAGATTCCCACCCAGCATCCTTACCTGGAATCGTCACCCAGCTTCTCAATCCTGGATGCTGTAGCCAGCATGCTTACCACACCCACACCTAGCACCCTGGGCTTCATCTGCTGAACATTTGTGCACTGATTGTATCAACCATCCTCATCAACCCCTCCCTTTACCCTTTATCACCATCTCTTTTTTTTTTTTGTCCTTGAAACCAACTGCTGAGTCTCCATGCTACCAACTTTACTTGACCGATGATTCACCAAGGACCACCATGGAGATGCCAGCGTCTGGGAAGAAGGGAATGACAAGACGGAAAACTCCCTGGGATTAAACTTTGCAAAGTACACAGGATCCTCTAGTGAGGACAGTCCTGCTGGACCAGCCCATGAGCCTCCATTTGCTCTGGGCCAGCCTGGAGTCTGGGCTGGGTGGGGCTATCCAGCTGTTCTTTTGGTGGGCCAGTGACCTTCCTTAGAGCCACCCTGATTCTGAGTTGGCTCAAGACACCGCACTCTTCCTACCTATGGCCTGAAGCTGTCTGAAGCTTCCTTACTCACAGAGATGAGGAGAGTTCCTGGCCAGGTGTAGTTCTCAGAAGCCCAAGCATCTTCCTAGGTCCACTCAGGGGTATTTGTGTGCAAGAGGCTAGGATTTGGTGATGTTTGTGAAGAGTGGTGGTGAGTAAGACAGTGTGAGGGAGGGAAAGAGACTGGGGGAACTGTCACTCTCAGGGACCGCTGAAACTATAGATGCCCTGGTCTTTGCTCACATGGGGGAAGACACAACAAAAAAGTAACTGTCTGTAGCCCTCAAAAGAATGCAGGCTTGACAGAAAAACAAATGTGTGACCAAGTATGGGCTTTTCAACTCAGCCACCATATCCTTCTCTTTAAGGTCCTTCAGACTGTCACATGCAGGTGTGCACAGAGGCAGGGCAAGGAGTCCACCTCAGCAGTAGGCAAAAATCACTGGTGTTGCTGATACCTCCTGGCCTCCCATGTTCAATTTGTCTGTCCGTGTCTTTTCCATTCCTTGGGCTGAGCTCCTTCCCTTCTCAGTGAGAGGGAGGAAATCAGAGAAATGGGGGAAGTGACTGCCCCAGGGTTTTCCCCACATCTGGGGTGGAGAAAGGGGATCAGACCATGGTACAGCCCAAGGAGACACGTGGGCCAAAGGTGGTTGATGTTTCTTTGCATGCAAAGAGGAAGCTGTTGAATCAGGGTGCGGGCGCTGAGAGCAGACAGTGACCTACAAAATCCTATGTAGGAGCCATGTGAGTGTGACTGCATGGATGGAAGGGGAAGGCCAGAGATGGGGTGGTGGTCAGCTGGCGAAGTCGGAGAAGGGAAGAGAGAGAAGTGGCAGAAATCTGCCACCACACCAAGCTTGGTTTCCATGCTTGGTCTGTGGGGAAGGGCTGAGCTGAGCTGGAAATCCGGCTGGCCAGGCTGGGCACCCTCGGGCCACATTGAGCACTTTGCCTGCGTCTCTCAAGGTGGTACTTGGACTCACTGTAGCACAAGTGGCAGAAGTCTATTACAAAAGTCCCTTAGGGAACCAGCAACTGTTGTCTAAGATTTGTGAAACCAAGTGTCAAAATTTCAGGTTTAGAAAACACTGTCACCACTCTGAGGTCATCTGCTTCATCCGCCTTCCACTAATTTTCTGAACTGTTACTGGTTTTCAGTCCTGGGAAAATTCCAAAGAAAACAGTGCGAGGATGGGGAAGGCACCCCATAGTGACTTCAATCTAGAAAATGTCAAAAATGCTGTGAGTATTTAGACAGAAGCACAAACAAAATGTCACGAATGCCCAGAGAGAAGGAAGAGCTTGTCCCCCGAGGGGAGAGCTTGTCCCAGGGTCTTTGCCTTGCTCATTGCTGTCTTCCTGGCCGATACTGTACCTGGCAGGTAGCGGGTCCTCAATGAATATTCATTTGAATGAATGAGTGAGTAAGTGAATGAATAAATAAATAAAATGAGATTTTTGAAGGCTAAGAAGGATTTTGCCAGAATGGAAAACAGGAAGAACATTTTTGGCAGGTGCAAAAGCACAAATAAGTAGGTTTTTATTTTTGCTTTTAAAGTATGGATTGGCTGTCTTTCTATTCTCCAGAAGGTGGGGGAGGAGGGGAAGCAGAGGAAGCAGTAAATACTGTAAGATCAAAAAGAAAAAAAGGAGAGAAAGTAAGCAAATCAATAAGGAAATATAAAATATGGATAGGCTCAAATATGGTAGTAATGAAAGTAATTGTAAGTGGCTTGCTATACTGTAGCAAGAAAGGGGAGGCCAGGAAAGAAACAGACAGGCTGTGTTCTGAGGACAAGACAGGGGGAGGGGATGGCAAAGCAGAGAGATAAAACTTGAAGAATTGAAACATGAAGGTCACATAACACTGGGGAAATGAAATAGCCAATGAAGTCACATGCAGCCATATGTGGGTTGAGCTTTGCTTTTTGCTTCTGTAACCTGCTTGCAAGGGTACATAAGGTGAGACCCCTTTGTTCTCGGGGCTCAGCCTTTGGACACGAGTCCTTGTCTGTGCCGGCACAATAAATGTTGCTTGCTGCTAATCTGCCTCAGAGACTCCTATCTCAGCTCATAATTTCCTGCAATAATACTTGTAATAGTTACTAGGAATCATATTTCCAAAATCTATGTAATGACTTTGGAAAATGCCTACAATATGATGTTCAGCGGGGAAAAAACAAATTACTAATCTGTAAATATATATGGTTCTGGGGTGGAATGAAGGAGAATGGTAGAGGAGGTGAATTCATGCATGATATGTTTGATATATTGTAAGAACCTGTGTAAATGCCACAATGTACCCCCGACCCATCATAAAAATAAAGAAAAAAATAGGGTTCTAATTTTATAATAAAAATTCAAAAATATATATCTTTATAGAAAGAAAAGGAAATAACTCAATGTTTACTGTGGTTATCTGTAAAATGATGGATTTAAGTGTGATTTTTATTTTGTCTATTTTTTTGTAACCTCCAAATTTTATACAATAAATGTCTATTACTTTTATAATTAGAAAGAAATATTGATTAAGAAATATTTAAGGGGGTGGTATGGGAGCATCTGATTTGAGAAGAGTTGTGGGGGGATCTGGAGGGAGGTTGGAGTCTGGCATGAAGAGCCAGAGGGCTTGAATTTGCCTCTGAAAGTAGTGAGGGAGTCAACAGACCTGTCTGCTCCCTGCCTCTCTTCTCGGAGCCTCATGGTGAGTATCACCAGACAACATGTTTTGGAACTATGCTCAAACCCTCTCCCCTGTACCTGCTCCCCAGGTGCCAAGTCCAGCTGGCTCTTCTTCCACCATCCCTAAAGTCCCTTCCTTCTTTCTCTCCAGGCCCCATCACCCCTTGCCTGGGTCCTGTAGAGACTTCCTTTCCTCAACACCATCCCTTCCATCATCTACTCATGAAGGACCCAGGAATCTGTGGTGGTTCTGGGTTTGAACTCAGGGCCCTGTGCTTGCTAGGCAGGCATTTTTACTGCTTGAACCACTCCACCATCCCTTTTTTTGTGATTGTATTTTCATGATAAGGTCTCCCACAAACTATTTGCCTGGGGCTGGCTTTGAACCTCCATCCTCCTGATCTATCTCTGGAGTAGCTAGCATTACAGGTGTGATTGTTCAAATCTGTGGAGTACAATGTGATGCTTCGATACATATACACAATGTATAATAATTAAATCAGGGTAATCAACATACTTTTTAACTCAAGTATTTATCATCTCGTTATGATGAAGCATTCAATATCCTGTCTTCTAGCTGTTTGACATACAGAATATACTGTTATTATTATTATTATTATTGTACTGGAGTTTGAACTCCGGGTCTTACACTTAGTAGGCAGTTGCTCTACCACTTGAGCCACTCTGCCAGCCCAATCGTTCTTCCTTCTATTGACAGACACTTGTAACTCAAACAATTAAAAAAAATAATCTGGCTAAGAAAATGGACAGAAGACCCGAATAGACATTTCTCAAAAGAAGACATACAAATAGCTAACAGGTAAATGAAAAAATGCTCAATATCACTAATGTTAGGGGAATAAAAATCAAAACCAGAGTGAGATAGCACCTCATCTGTTTTACTATTAGAAAGATAAGAGAGGACAAGGGCTGACAAGGATGTGGAGGAAAAGGAAGCTCACTGCTGTTGGTGGGAATGTAAATTAGCACAGCCATTATGGAAAACAGTATGGAGGTTCCTCAAAAAATTAAAATTAGAGCTCCCATATGACCCAGCAAGCTCACTGCTGGGTATAAACCCAAAAGAAATGAGATCAGTGCTTCAAAGAGACATCTGCACGCCCATGTTGATTGCAGCACTCTTCATAACTGCCAAGACATGGAATGTACCAGGGTCCCTTCTGCAAGGCCATCCTGTCCAGGTATTATTTCTGCTCCTCAAGGCCATCAGGGTAGAGTCCTTCTTCCCAAATATGGCATTTAAGACCTTGCAAGAGCCAGCCCTGACTCTCTTCTGCCCACCCCAACCTGGTCAGCCCACAGTCCAAACATCTCCATTCTCATCAAATTCCTGTCACTCCCTGAATAAGCTGTGTGTTTTCAGGAGGATAGAAAGGGGGAGTGGGTGGGTTGTAGTTTAAAATGTTAAAATATTTTGTCCAGATATTTTTTTCTCTTTTACAAAACCAGCACATTTCAGGTTCTTAAACAGCAGAGTTCACACACAGCCACCCACACATTCATTCACACTGTATTATACTTCATCTTAGGTTTTAAAATACATGCTTCAGAGACACCTATACACCCAGCACTAGGGAGGCTGAGATGTGAGAATTGTGAGTTCAAGGCCAGCCTTGGGCTACACAGCAAGTTCCAGGCCAGCTTGAGCTATATGGTGAAACCCTGACTCAAAAAACAAAAATAAAAACAAAAACAAAACAAAAAAAAACTTGGCACCAGTGGTTCAACCTATAATCCTAGCTACTTAGGAGGGTGAGATCAGGAGGGTCAAGGTTTTAGGCCAGCCGGGGCAAACAGTTCTCAAGACTCCATCTCCAAAATAACCAGAACAAAATGAACTGGAGGTATGGCACAAGTGGTAGGGCAACTGCTTTGCAAGCATGAAGTTCTGAGTTCAAACCCTAGTCTCACCGAAACAAAACAAAAACCAAAGCACATTTCTGGTTGGGGATAGCTCAGTAGTACAGTGCGTAACATGCACAAGGCCCTGGGTCTGATCCCCACCACTACAGAAATAAAAAATGATAAAATACATGTTTATTTTTTATTTTCAAAAGTGCACATTAAGATCATCCAACACGAGCATTCGTGTAGAAGGACTTGGGTGGGGAAGGTCTTGAGAAATCTGTCCCTGCAGCCTACTTTTGCAGACAGGAAGAAAGGGCCTCCGTACATGATTCTAGGGACATTCCATCCTTGAAAATGTACATTTGCATCTACTTTTCCTCACATCTGACACTGACTGTGCCTGTCCAGTTGGGCAGGCAAAGCCTGGGCAGGAAGGACAGACTCCTCGGAGCAGAGTAAGCCTGTCAGCATCCAGCCCTCAGCCCTTGGGTGAGGAAGTGGGAAACAGACTTCATCCCTGAGCCCTCACACTCAAACTGTGTGCCAGGAGGCAGGTCACACTGGGACTGTTAACCAGCTAAGAGAGGAGTATAATCAAATGCTTTTATAATTCCCAAAGTTGAAACAAAAGCAGACCAAACCAAAGTAGAGAGGAAATGTCCAAATCCTAATAGAGTACGTAGGTTGAGGAACTGATACAGTTCTGGGGAGCTTTGGGGTGGTGCCATGAGGGTATATTGGAGACCATCAACAATGCACTGCAAGTGGATGCCCGTGTGCCCTGGTTCCTTACAGCTTATGGCATCGGGACAGCCTGGCTGTGTCTTAGTCAAGATCCCAGCTCAAGCAGACCGGGTTGGCCATGGAGAGTGCCACCTGCTCTCCCTTGCATTTGTACCCACTCTGTCTGAAGCCAGCCCACTGCCAGATGTCTCCAGAGCACACTTGGCCCCACCAAACTTCTCAACCATCAAGATTCAGCTCAAATGTCACTGCCTTTGTGAAGCTGCCCTTCTGTCCCCACCAAAAACAAACTCAGTGTTCACTTCCCACTCCCACGGTGCCTTGTGTGACAGCATGAAAGACGGGGCTGTACGTATGCGAATGTGTCCATCATCTTTGGAGCTTGTAAGGCCACGTGTCATCTTTGCTGCTCCAGAGTTTAAGTCCTAGCACACAGTAGCTATCGTATGTAGACACTGAGTGGAGGGATAAATGAATGAATGAGTGAGTGAATGAACAAACTATGTTTTTTTTTTTTTTTGTGGTACTGGCGTTTGAACTCAGGGCCTACAACTTGAGACACTCCACCAGCCTTTTTTTTTTTATGATGTGTTTGTTCGAGATAGGATCTCAAGAGCTATTTGCCTGGGCTGGATTGGAACCGTGATCCTCCTGATCTTTGCCTCTTGAGTAGCTAGGATTAATGGTGCCCGGCTCAAACTATGACTTGTGAATAAATGTAGGGCAAGATCAGATCTGTCTCTTGAAGTTCACTCTCAGCCAGGATGGCCTGAGAAAGTGTAGGCCAGAGGGAGAGCATCATTCTACTGCAGCTGAGAAACCACTTAAGTTGAAGGTCAGGTTTGAAATTGATTTATCCAGAGAATAAGACTTTATAATGAATTAATTTCTGATGAGGATATGGGGAAGAGTGAGATTAGACTTCAAGCTGCTTTCTATATCGGGAGGCTGAAGACACCATTATCTGGAAATGCTGAGTGGTTTGGGGAAAAATGAGTTCATTTTTAGAATTATTAGAAGGAATGCTTTGGAGATGCTTAGAAATAGAGGCCTGGAGCTTGGGCTGGAGATACAGATTTAAGGGTCATTTGAATACATACATACATATATATAATTTTATATAAAATAATTATATACATAAAATAATTTTGGGTTTGAACTCAGGGCCCAGACACTCTATCACTTGAGCCATACCTCCAGCCCAGCAAGATCCTTTTTGGGATGGGGTCTCGTCTGTTGCCCAGGCTGCCCATGGGCAACGTGGAGCCTTTTCATTTGCTACTCTGCTGACTCTTCTGAAACTCAGCTCTGATCTGCCTGTGTTCTTAATGTACCTTGGTGTCTTTGGAATACTGCAGACTGGGTAATTTATAAAGAAAAACATTTATTGCTCACGGTTCTGGAGGCTGGGAAGTCCCATATCCAGATGGTAACATTGGGTGAGGGCCTTCTTATTATGTCATAACTTACATGGTGAGGGAGCAGGCCCTGTGAGTTCTGCTCTCTCTTCTATAAAGTCATTAATGCCGCTAAGGGGACCCCACTCTTACGACCTCACCTAATTCTAATTACCTCTCAAAGGCCCCGCCTCCAAACATAGATGAGTTTGGGGGTTGGTGTGTGAATTATATCTCAATTTCTTTTTTTACCTGTACTGGGGTTTGAACTCAGGGCCTTGCGCTTGCTAGGCAAACACTCTACCAGGTGAGTGGCACTCCCAGTCCAACACAATGACTTTGGACAGACACATTCAAGCTGAAGAGGAAGGGGAAGGGGAAGCAAGGGGACATTTGTGGAGTTGCTGTGTCACTTGCAGAATTTTTCATTTGCTTCTCAGTGACTACTGTTACATTTTATAGCTAAGAAAAGTGAAACACAGGAAAAGGTATTTGAGATCAAAGAGAATGGGATTAGGACTTGAACCCAGGCCCATGATTTTCCCAATATACTATCAAAAGGCTTTCTAGCCCTCACAATGGAGCACACTTTTGCATCACAGCCTCATTCCCTGGGGGAGGGCCAGGAGGGCTCGGCATAGTGGCAGTGGGGTGGGGGGGAACAGGGCCTTTGACTCCTTCACTGGCTATTGCCTGAGAAGATAGGTGTTCTGAATTTCATGGCTGAGCCCTCCTCCCACTGGGGCAGGCACAGCGAGGGTCCCAGAGAGGCCTCTCAGGGAAGGGTTGGCCAGAGATCTCGCCCCTCCCTCTCCTCCCTCAGGCAGCCCCACCCCCGGGCTGGCCTCTGGGAACACCAGATCTGAGCAGGGTGGACACACTAGCTGGCTGTTGCAAGTCGCCATGGACCCTGAAGGTGAAGGGATAGCTCTGCCCTGTGTCGCTGTCTCCCTTACTGCCTGCTTCTCTCCCCATCCTGGCCACCCCTGTCCCTCTGCCCAGCTGCGGAAGACCCCTCTCCCCACTGACCTGTCTGTGGACTTCCTTCCCCCCCCACCTCCCTGCAACTTCACAGACTCCCAAAACCCTCTTCTCACTGTCTCCCTCCATGTTGGGTCCCCCCTGAGCTCAGGGTGGGGAGAGGGGGAGGAAAGAAAGGGGCCTTGGGCTGGGAGAGGGGGCGGAGGCCACAGATGGGGGCGGAAAGTGGGAGATCGCCCGGGGCAGCAACTCTGGACTCTGACCCCTCTCTAGTCACCGGGGAGAAGCAGAGGGTAAAAGTCCTGCAGCTGTGGCAGTGGCGGGGGGGGGGGGGGGGGGGGGGGGGGGGGGCTGTGAGTCCCTGCATAGGAAAAACCCCATGTCTGCAGGGGATCCAGACAGGCACAGGCTGTGACATTGGCAGGTCCCTGAGTTCTCAGAGTCTCATTTCCTTGCATCTGTAAAAATGTAATAGTTCTCAAGCTTGTTAGAACGGATGACAGGGGGCCCTTCTTTGAACCCCCTGCATTTCCACATTCTCTCCCCAAGCATGTTCTTTCTCCCCGTTTGGGTCTTTCTGGCTCTTTATGTAGCCCAGGTTGGCCTCGAACTCATGATCCTCCTGCCAACAGCCTCCCAAGTGCAGGGATTATAGATGTGTACTACCAGGCCCTGCCCCAGACCTAGATTTTTAAAATCTAGGTCTTTAAAATCTCAAGAATTCATGGACATCCATGGGCAAGGCACCCACCTCTGTGGCCTGTCCATCAGGTAGGCGGGAATGACCTTGTACTTGGCCTCACTATGCTTGGTTTCCTCCTATGAAGTGAAGAGAGCACCTTCTGGCAGCATTGTGGGGAGGACTATTCATAACCAAGTTCCTAGCTCACGGAAATCACCAGAAGTAGTTAGGCTGGAGATGTGGTTCCTTGTCACTGTCGCTCCACCTCTGATCCCCTCGGTTTCCAGTTTCATGTTTAGAACTCCAGATGGGAGTCCCTGACAGCTCACTTTTCCCTGTACACAGTCACTGTGTTCCTTGAACTTACCTCCTTTAAGTCACCAGTCCTCGTCCCTCTCTGTTTCCATGGCCTGGTCCCTCACCCCACAGTGGGGACAGTCTGTCTGGAGGGCTTTTTTGCATCTACAGCTGCCTCATGCCTGTGACCACAGTGAATGTTTAACTCTGACCCTAGTGGGAAAGCCAGCACTAGGGTCACTGACCTGTGTGAACTAAGCCAGGAAGAAGCAGCCAAGGGAATGAGGCATGGGCTGGGGATGCGGGGAAAACAAGGGACAAGAGCAGGGCAGAGCAGCTGGCAAGGGTGGATAAAGAGCAGTCAGACTGGACCAAAGGAAGCATCCAGGTGACTGTGTCCTTTCCCCTTGGCCTGCAGAGGGACACCCTGCCATCAGCTCATCCCCACACACTGCCTCTTGTGCAGGCCCTTCCAATAGCTTCCCAAGTGAGAACCCCAGACACAATTTTTTTTTTCATTTTTCTTTTATTATTCATATGTGCATACAAGGCTTGGTTCATTTCTCCCCCCTGCCCCCACCCCCTCCCTTACCACCCACTCCGCCCCCTCCCTCTCCCCCACCTCAATACCCAGCAGAAACTATTTTGCCCTTATTTCTAATTTTGTTGTAGAGAGAGTATAAGCAATGATAGGAAGGAACAAGGGTTTTTGCTGGTTGAGATAAGGATAGCTATACAGGGCATTGACTCACATTGATTTCCTGTACATGTGTGTTACCTTCTAGGTTAATTCTTTTTGATCTAACCTTTTCTCTAGTACCTGTTCCCCTTTTCCTATTGGCCTCAGTTGCTTTAAGGTATCTGCTTTAGTTTCTCTGCGTTAAGGGCAACAAATGCTAGCTAGTTTTTTAGGTGCCCAGACACAATTTAAATGCTGAAATTTCACCAGTCTTTTTTTTTTTTTTTTTTCCCCTTCTTTTTTTGGCAGCATTGGGGTTTGAACTCAGGGCCTCATGGTTTTTTTTTTTTTTTTTTTGAGTCAGGGTCTCACAAACTATTTGCCCAGGCTGGCTTTCAACCACAATCCTTCTGATCTCTGCCTCCTGAGTGGCTGGGATTACAGGTGTGAACCACTGGCGCCTGGCCTCAAGGTTCATTTTGATCCTCAAAATTCTGTGCTAAAATCCCATTGCCTAGTTCTGACTTCTGCTCCAAGGCCTGCTTAACCTGATCCCATCAGCCTTCTTTTTCTCTGTTCCCTCCCTGCTGGTGCCTTCCTGAGCATCCTGGCCTGTGGCTTTTCCACTCTCTCTGCCACCAGCTCTTCTCCTTCTTGATTTTGCTCTTACACATTTGTATCCACTCTGAAATTCTACTGATTGGTTTTGCACTTAGGTGATGGTGGACCACCCTGGGCCTTATTTGGAAATCATTTCTCTTTTCTGGGGAGGGTGGGAGGGGAAGGAAAGAATGTTTGTGGAGAAGCTTTGGTTGTGACCAGCCTCTGTCTCCACCTTGTGTTTGTTGAATAAATTAACAAATTAATGAAAGAACAAAGATGCCAGAGTCAGACACCTGTGTTCAAAGCCAGCTGACCAGGCCTCGACTCAGGCACCTGATGTAAATCACCTCTCTCCATTCTCAAGGTGAGCAGTCTGGGATTTCTTTGTGGAACTGTCAGAGTTTGGTGACTTGCCTGTGGTCACCCAGGAAGTCAGGATTCCAACCCAGGTGTGTTTTGACTCTGAACGGGACATTCCTACTATACCAGGGGTGGAGCCCTGGAACCCTGAGTGTGGCTAGCAAAATTCTAAATTTCGATATAACAAACATAACTAAAAATAGACTTTATTGCCAAATTCAATGGCAGCGTGGGAAGGTTAGGTGAAGGAGTGGACCCAGGAGTCAGTCTGCCTGTGTTAATGATCCCAGCCTCATACTTCCCAACTATGTGACCTTGGGGCAAGTTACTTTTGTGCTTCAGTTTCCTTATCTGTAAAATGGGGACAGTTCCTACCTTATATCGTACTTGTGATAATTAAATGTGTTAATATATAAAAATGCCTAGAATGAGCCAGACACCAGTGGCTTACGCCTGTACTCCTAACTACTCAGAAGGCAGAGATCAGGAGGATCACAGTTTGAAGCCAGCCTGGGCAAATAGTTCTCAAGCCCTATCTCAAAAAAACCCATCACAAAAAAGGGCTGGTGGAGTAGCTCAAACAGTAAGAGCACCCTTGGCAATTGTGAGGTTCTGAGTTCAAATCCTAGTGCTGACAAAAATATGCTTAGAACAGTGCCTGAAAGGACCATGTGAACATTATTTGTTGCTATTTTTGCACAGTATGTCCTACCAGATCTATTATAGACAAGTGACAAGCATGAGAGTCTGAATAAAATTTAGAAGGGCAAAATCTTGAAAATAAATAACTTCTATGCATTAATTTTCTTTCTTACAAATTGGGGAAACTTGTTGCTTGGTTTTAGCTACAGAATATTTTGGTTAGCCTCATCAAACACCTCTGTGCGTTACAAGCACGAGAGTAAAAAATTGTTCATATTAGAAACATTCACAGTCTTTGCAGTAATGCAGTTATGTCTGTCTTTCTTTCCTTTCTTTCTTTCTTCCCTCTCCTTCCCTTCCTTCCTTCCTAGCCTTCCTTCCTTCTTCCACTTACTATGTAGCCCAGACTGTTCTCAAACTCATGCTCCTCCTGCCTCAATTTCCCAATTGCTGGAATCACAGTCATCAACAAGTATGAGCCCCCATACCCAGCTCATGTCTGTTTTTTCATTGGTGGTGTTGTTTGTTTGGTTTTGGTTTTTGGTGGTACTGGGGTTTGAACTCAGGGCCTCGTGTTTGCTTGGCAGGTGCTCTATCATGGGACACAAGTCCCCAGCTCCTCATATCTGGTTTTCTCTAGGTCTAGACTTGCTCATCGTTTCCAATGAAAGTGTTTGCTAAGTGACTGAGTGAATATGGCTGGATGAAAGGTCTATTTCTAACATCGTCTCTCTGCCCAGGAGCCACTGTTAGGAACAACATGGAAACAGAGCAAAAGTTGGTCAATAATCTAGGAAAAATCCAACAGCAAAAGGGCCAGAGATGAAGAGAACACTCATTATTCTCCCACAGTTGTCAGTTCTCTGTTTTCCTCTATATTACTTGTAAAGGGAGAAAGGGCACAAAAACTATCCCAATAACTGATATCCTCCTTTGGATCCCCTTGGCAACAGAGATGCCAGTTTTATTAATTTTTTTTTCACCCTGGATAACCAGTTAAAGGTCTCCCCTTGAGAGATCAAGATGACATACCACAGGATGAAACTGCCTTCTCTGAAGTCAGGGCACCTTGGAAGAACTTTTCCAGTAAGAGCTGCAGGGCTAGGAATGGGACAAGCCACAGCGCCTCTTGTCTCTGAAGCTCAAGAGACTTTGAGGAACAGCTGCTAACAGAAATCTCTTTTGCTGGAAATGCATGAACTGGTGAGCCTAAAGAGAACCAGATGTGTTTATTTACTTTTTGCAAAGCTCAGGAACAGAATGCCTCTGCACCAGGCTATCAGAGCAGGGAATCTTCAAGAAGTGGGCAAGAGGGAAACCAACCCAGGGGGTGGGGGTGGGGTGGGGGTGGGGGCAGAGCTGCTGAAGTGTAGAAGTACCCAGCTGTGAAGGGGGAAGACCTGGGTCCATGTTTATAATTTTCTAGCTTAATCATTTTCCAGCTCTACTCTTTATTCTTTGCCATTTCCATGCCTAAATTTTCCATCAACAAATATGAATTCTCACTGGGTGCCGTGGCTCCTGCCTGTAATCCTAGCTACTCAGGAGACAAAGATTAGGAGGATTGTAGTTCAAGGCCAGCTCTGGCATATAGTTCACAAGACCCTGTCTTGAAAATACTCAACACAGTAAAGGGCTGGCAGAATGCCTCAAGTCGTAGAGCACCTGCCTA